AAATAATATAAGAGATACTAATATTTAAAACTATGATATTTTTATAAATTAAAAATAAGTTTAAAATGATTATTTTTAGTCTCTTAACTTTTAATATATGTATATTTTTCATCCATCCACTTTAAATTAAGGGACTAAAAATGTGTATATTTAGATAAATTTAATAAAATAATTGATAGAAAGACTAAAAAAAATGAAAAATAAACTAAAAAAGTACATAAAAAAATTAAAGGATGAAAAATATATATAACATTAAAGTTGAGGATAAAAATAAAATTTACCTTTTTTAAATTTGAATTGAGTTATATGGACAATTTCTTATTAAGAAACCCTTAGCTTAGAACGACGTCGTTTTGGGCTAGAGAATTTTTTTTTTTTTTTTAATTTGTAGTGTGTATCGGCCGAAATTCTGATGAACCGGTCAATTCATTAAAATTTTGACCGATACACCGAATCTTGACCGAAATGATCAAATTTTGACCAAAATAAAAGTTAATATTATACCATTTTGGTCAACTTTAAAAACCGATACATACCGACCATACCGATCGATATGGTACGATTTTTCCTTCTTTGGATGAGAAGGGAAATTTTTTCTTTACTTTTTTTCTTAATTTAATTATTTATCCAAATAAAAAAAATGAGAGAATATAATTCCCCCATCTCTATTTCCCTTAACCCAAATATAGGGTTATAGTTTATAAATTCAACTTGCTAGATGAGGTTGTGACCACAATTAATTTTGTTAAAATCATTAATTTTATTTATAATTTTATCAATTTATAATTTTTTCATTAAATAGTTAGTTATGATATTTAAAAATATTTGTTTATAAATTAATTTTAATATATTAAATAATAAATATTAACCATATTTAATAAATTATTAATTATTTCTAACAATTAAATTGAAATAAAATTTTGATAATTTTAGTGATCACAACAAAATTAGTACGGCAACAATAACCATATCTACATAGCATACATAAGTTCTCTTGTTCTCTCTTTTCCATTTTCTTTTTCTTTTTCTTTTTGTTTTATTTCCACCTATTTGACGACTTACATATGAGACTTCTAACATCTGCTTTTCAAGGTATAAGAAGTAAAATCACGAAAGGATCAATCTAAACCCTATTTTGAAAATCTCAATCGCATGGTCCATAAACTTTAATTTTAAGCAGAACTTGGAAGTTATCTATATGTGTGTGTGTATATATATGTATGTCCCAAACTTTTATGGTTGTTTTATGACTAGCACTAGAGGTGTTCGCAGTATAGTTTGATTTGAATTTTAATATTTTTTAAACTAATTCAATCTATTATTATATAATAATCAAATCAAACCAATCCAATTTAAATCAGATCGATGTGGTTTAATTGGATTGATCAGTTTTAAACAATATTAAATATATGAGATAATATAAAAATTTTTAATAGTAAATAGAAAACATAACTATAAAACAAATTAACATCCAAATTACTAGACACATAATAAAATGCACAAATTATAATTAAGTTTTTATACTCATTTACTATTGTAAAGATTGAAAAGATTGGAAAATTCTTTTTGGATAAATCATCAAAGGCACTAAGGATAATAACAGATGATTTTAAATTTTAAATACAGCATAAGTAATTTTTAAAGATTAAAATTAGTTTTTTTTTCCTTAATGCACCAAATGATTCAATCTCATCTTCTAAACCTTGTAAAAAGCAAATAAAATTTAATATGAATATCATTAGGAATGATTAGAAGCATTCATAATTAAGATTTAAAACTCCTCAACTAAACATCTAAGAATAGTAGAATATCAAAATTAGTTTTATTATATAATTTTAAGACTTCTAGAATGATATTTCTTAAAATTTAGTTAGGAAAATCAAAATATTATTTTAAGAATAGATTAAAAATTTAGAATTCTAAAAGTAGAGTCGTAGAGCAGTTTTAAGAAATAAAGTTACAGGCAAATTGAAAATTTAAAATTAGGGTTAAAGTATACGATTTAAAAAGGAAAATAAATTAAAAAATACGAGAATATTTTATTTTTATTTTTTAATTGAGTTAATGGAGTCATCATCTTATAAAATAAGAAAAAAAATTTAAAATATTACAAATATATATTATATTATTTAATTAAGTTATCTTATAATCGAATTTTATTTTATAATCAAGCGATTTTAGTAATTTGAAGGTAAAATCACAAACCAAACCAATTATATTAATTTTAAAATTTTATAATTCAAATCAATTCAATTTTATATCAGTTTGGTTTGGTTTTTTAT